TCCTTCCTTCCTTCCTTCCTTCCTTCCTTCCTTCCTTCCTTCAGGCTGTGGGCCTCCCAGATGACAATGGGAACAGAAACTTGTTTCCCAGATTCAAAGTTGCCCATCCCCGATTTAATATGTCCACCCGTTTATTTAAGGTCAAGGAAATTAATGGTTGTGCTTCACGATATGAAAAACGACCTACCAAGGTACATCCGTAAGCTTCTTGAGGTGGAGCAAAGCCGAAGCTCTCTAAGGCTTTGGATGAATCATCCTTGGCTTTCTGCAATTTAAATTGCATTCCTGATTTTGAACTAGATAGAGGGGGGAAAGAAATTAACAAAGTGAATTACCTATGAGGGCCACATAGCCTGAAATTTATGGGAAGGAATAAAGAAGAGCTGACATAGTCATTCCCTTGAGGGAACATTTGCTTTTGGAAGCCAGCGTCAATGTAGCCTCTTGAAGGATATTTGAGAAACCATTTATGTAGGTTGCAGAGGATGCTCGATTGGTGAAGCATTTATATTAAAAAGAAATAAGCTGCAAGCATTCATCGGTGCTACAATAGAAAACACTTGAACACGGCACTGGCAGATGTATAAAAAAAAACAGTCTACGCAAAAGGAGGGTGGAGGGCTCTCATTTCGGAAAGGCAAACCCTTTTGAGTTCACTCCGTTGTTTTTCCGCAAAAGCGAGGCCTTGGCCTTAATTTACACTTTCTGTTCACTTGATAAGAACTCCTATCGTGGGAAAGTAGTTTTGTGTCAAAAGGAAGAGTTGAAGGCTGCAATTTAAAAAAAAAATGTTAAAAGAGCAGACATAGTTTCAAATGAAGAGCAACTTTCCTCCGCTACCCCTGTTGAAGGGTAGAAAACATAGACTCTTGGGCAGGGGGTCAGATTCTGGGAAAACCTGTTAGAACGAGGCTCCAGGCAATTATAACTGCAAATGAGGCCTTGGGAAGTGTTTCACGAACAGGCTGAACCAGTACTTCCCATGTGCTTGTCCACCAGGAAATTAATTAGCTTCGGAAGGGGTGCTAGTTGTAGCCTTGCTATCACCCCTCACTTGACTAATAAGGCTCAGAGCCTGAAGAAGTTACTCTTCTTCAAAAGGCCCTTTAGAAAAGTTACACTTTCGGTCTGCACCTTCCAGACTCCCCCAGTTCGCACAAGTTATGCTCATAGAATAATGGATTTGGAAGGAGGCTATAAGGCCATTGAATCCTACCCCCTGCTCAGTGCAGGAATCCAAATCAAAGTGTATCTGAGAAATGGGTGTCTGATTTTCTCTTGAATCACTCCAGAAATGGAACACGCACCACCTTCTGCAGTAATTGGTTCCATTGTCGTTTTGATCTAACATTAAGGATGTTTTCCCTGATACTCATATATTCCTGTAACTTTAGCCCATTACTATATGTTCTGCTCTCTGGGATGATCAAGAACAGATTCTTCTCCTCTTCTGTAGGACTATCTTTCAAGTATCTGAAAAGTCCTGCCATATTTCCCCTCAGACTCTCATGTTCTAAACAGGCCCAGTTCTTCCAGTCTTTTTTCATAGGGCTCGGTTCCCGCTTCCTTGATCATCTTCGCTGCCCTCTCCTGAACTTAATCACATTCCGAGTCATGCAGTTCGCACGCTACCCCAGAATAAGCAGCAACTCACTCACTGCTGGCAGTTTATTGTTGTGATTTACGCAGTGACATTTACGCCTGCATAAATCCACAGCAAGATTTGGCCGTTGCTTGTTTGTTTAATTCAGCCATTTTCGAACCCACCCACCCTACTTTTATTTTTTGCTGCAGCTGTAAAGACAACCTGAAAGAAATAGGCCAAATCATAAGACACATAACAAACCTTATAAGGTGGCGTGTGAAGAATTGTTTCCAGTCTGTGGCCCCCATCGGATGTATCAGGATCCCTCCAAGAGCCATATGGCCCTGTTGAGAATGGCTGGTTTCACTTTCTTAATGCCACAAGCACTGCCTAGGGATACATACTCTTCCTGCCACACTTCATTGTGGCCGTGGCACCCATACCAGAGCATAAGGGCCACGGGACAAGGCACAGCAGGTTCCAGCGCTTAAACCCTGTGTATTTCTTCTCCTCCCACGAGTTGGACCATCGGCCTTGAAGATCAGGGGGAACAAAAAATTCTTTTGCACCCACGAAATGAGTAAAGTTATCCCTCACTGAATTATGTTCATAACGCCGTTTAGTTATTACGTATACCTTATCAAAGAATGGAATGAATGACGAGTAACCAGTTACTTCCAAATTTCGGGGTTAGAACCCTTTCCTGTGAAGCCTCCAGTCTAAATTTAAATTGGAGTCACAGCTGGATTAGGAAGGAAGGCTAAACAAGAGCAAATCTGACCCTAACAGGATACCGTTCTAAAAGTTACTTTATTGCAGGCTTGTCCAACCCCCGGCCCTTTGGGCCGCATGCGGCCCAGGTTGGCTCGTAATGTGCCCCAGTGCAATTTTTTTATTTTTAAAGAAATTCCAAATTTTCAAGATACACTGCCGGCGCCTGCGCCCGGAATGTGGCCGGGGCATGTCACAACAAGGAAGGAAGGAGTGGGACGGGAGGGGAGAGGGGCTCTATGTGACTGCATTGCGCCGTCCCCGTCAATAGGTGGATCCCCCTCCCGGCCCCATAAAGCTGCCAGAGTCGAAGCTGGCAGCCTCTGCTGTCTGAGATTGCAGCTGCCGGTATGCGCGCTTGGAGCGGGGCTGTGGAGGACGGCTAGGGCTGCCCCCCCCCATGCGGCCCAAACCAAATGTATGTGCGGCCCAAATCAAATTTTCATCTTCTAATGTGGCCCAGGGAAGGTGAAAGGTTGGACACCCCTGCTTTATTGCCTCTGATCAGTTGCCTTGGGGCTGACTCACACATTGTTTTGCTGGGCCTCTTCCCACACCACAGAAACAGCGCAGCTGTCAAAGCAACGTAGGATGAGGCCATATGGAAGCCGCTGTCACGCTGTGGTAGCAACATATGCACTCGGTGCTTGTTGGCTTGTTTGTTAGATATTTTTACTACACTTTTCTTCCACAACGTGAGCCTCAGGGTGGCTAACATTTTATTTATTTTTATTTATTGAATTTATATGCCGCCCACTCTACCCAGAGGTCTTTGGGCAGCTACAGTACATGGTTGCCCCCTCTCCTGTATGTTTGGGGAGGCAAGGGTTGTGAGGAGCCTTTTCTGTGGAGCAGAAGGATTTTGGAGGGGAGAAGCCTTTCTCGGAACCATCATGAGATTGGGGGACTGGCATTTGCAGAAGTACCTACAGCCATCGTGCTGAGTGAGTGTTAAAGAAGGAAGGGCTTCTTCCTGGGGGAAGAAGCTGGAACTAAAGTCCAGCCAAGCTCTTACCTGGATCCCAGCCAGTTCTCGGATCCAAGACACGTTATTGCCTCCATCCGTGTCTTGGAATTCTACTGAAGTGCTTCCCAACAGCTCTTCCCTGTGCTCTGCTCCTTTCTCTGTACGACTTCTCCCTTAAAAGCTGCCCCATTCCTCAGAGAAGGCAGATGGTTTCGAAGGTACCAATCGGCTCTCCTTCCGGCAGCTCAATCTACTCCTTCAATAGCTCTTTCTCTCCTCATCTGGAAAGACTCCTCCACCCACCCACCTTTTCCCCCTGCCTGAGAAAGGAGTTTTCAAATGTTCTTGCCGGTACTCGTAGGATGTAAAGGATACTCACTACCTTCTTTGACTTTCTTAACTTGAGGATGCAGAAATTCAAAAATCCTTGCCCCCAATTTCCTTTTTCCCAGGAAAAAAGCAGAGAAGGAATGCTATTTTGATTCATCCGTGTCTTCATAAAGTGTCATCTGCAAAACATTTATGCAAAACCTAGATCATTTTCCTTTAAGAAGCAAAGTGCACCTCTGTGTGTGCATACACACATATGCACACAGAGGATCCTCAAGAAGGCTGTGCAACAAACCAGCAGGCGATTGTTGTCCTCATGCACAAGTTCCACGAAAGCCTCATTCGCATTGAAGGATTAATGTGTACAATTTCCTTAATTCACATTAAAATTCCTTCTTGTTCCCATTCTCTCTTCTTGTCTAGAGGGCCACAAAATACCTCACTCTCTCACAGGACCTGAAGAACCATTTTTCAGTTCCTCATCCTTATCTGTAAGAGCAAAACACAGGAGGCTTTACATCCTTAGGTGCTAGGATCTTTTTGTAGGGTCCGGGGAGGACCTCGTGTTCGATCACTCTGTGGTCTGAAATATCCATCTATAGAGGGAGTAGGCCAATGAAAGGTCCTGGAATTAGAGCCATGTACATTCACCCTTTCGATTTTTGTATCTCTAGGTTTTCCCTACCTCACCACTGAGTTGGTAAGACAGCTTTTTAGTCACCCAGGGTGTGATTCACAGAGGCCACTCGAAGAACGACAGGTTACCTACCTGTAATTGTAGTTCTTCGAGTGGACCTCTATGATTCACACATCCCGCCCGTCCTCCCAACTGTCACACCATTCTGCTTAGCGTAGTGGCGGTTGACACAACTGAAAGGGGAGCCTTGGCAACAAGATACTTATATGAGGGGGGAGCAGCCTATTCCAATGTGTTTTTTTGCTACTGCAGAAGTTCTAGAACTTTCCGATGAAGCTCCACACAGGCACGGATCACCCAGGGTGTGAATCACAGAGGTCCATTCGAAGAACTAAAATTCCAGTCGTTGTGCTCTTGATGTGAGCCAGCAAAGCTCTTAATGTCTTGACTTGACAGCTTTAATTAACATCCAGGCCTGTAGTCTAGTGACAAGAGAACTAATAGCCTAAGCTACAAGAACACTTAGCTCTCCAGTCTACTTTACTCATTTGTTATCATTCTGGAGCTTTCTCCACTGACCCAAATAAGATCAAAACAGAGAGGGAAAAGCATAGCATGCCATTATGATGTGCTTTTCAGAAAGCGAAAAGAGTATGGCTTTCTGGCATTGTCAACTATGAGTATCATATTTTGGGGGCATGTTCTGATCTCCTGCAGGCAAAGAGATAACACCATGGAAAACATTGCCTGTTGATGTAATTAACTTTCTAGTTTTTTTCCCTTATTAGGTCAACACTAACTGCCACCACCACCATCACTAGTAATATTTTGGGGACAGCGTAGCTCATGTTGTTGGTATATTTTGTTGTGGTATATATGGCTGGTATACCAGAGAGCCCCTGAAAAAAATCCACTCTCACAAAGAGGCAGGATAGAGAGAGGACCTCCCCAAGAAGATCCTAAAAGCCAAGCCAGCTCATTTAGGGAGATACAGTCATTCAGAGACCCTGGACCCAAGCTCTACAGGTCACCACCAGTGCTGTGAACTGGACTCAGAAACAAACCAGCATCTTGTGAATTTCCTGTAACAGGGAGTTATTTATTCTAAGATTATCATTGTGTTCAGGAAAACAGCTGGTCTAGTCCTTTTTCTGAGTCTATACTGCCTGCCTTACACGCTCCCCGGCCCCTTAGAAAATACCCTTTGTGCCTCATAGGAGGCAGAAGGACTCATTATAACTGTCTTTGCAGGGGTTTCCGATATTCTTAAAAACCCCAGTACTGTATGTCCAACATGGAAAAATAATAATAATAATTAAAAAGTGGCCACTCGAGGGTACAAGGGTGCTTCTTCAGTTAAGGATGCCCATTTTTACTTTAAGAAAAAGTCATTGTAGGATCTTTTACAGTGCATAACTACTGCATTAAAGATGGATTTAAAATAAAATAGGCAATATGAAGCCTTACTTCCTTGGGAACATAGGTCTTGAGCTTCTTGGCAGCTCTGAAAAGTGGCCCTCAGCCAAGCCCTGAAGGAAGGAAGGAAGGAAGGAAGGAAGGAAGGAAGGAAGGAAGGAAGGATGGATGGATGGATGGATGGATGGATGGATGGATGGATGGATGGATGGATGGATTGATGGATGGATGGATGGATGGATAGACAGAATGAAGAGGGGAAAGAATTGTTCAGTAAAATATACACCACTGAAAATGTACACAAATATATATATAAATGTACATAAACTCATCCATATATATGGGAGCCCATAGAGAACTAGGAATGGATGAGTTTATGTAATAGAGTAATAGTTTCCACATTGGAAAAAGTATTGCTTCCATTAATACAGACCAGGATAGAGAACCTGTTTGTTATAGCGTCATGTTTCAGCTCACATGGGATCCCAAAGTTATTCGCAGCAGATTAAAATGATTAAAAAATAAGTTTGAATCATTATTTTAAAGAAGCAGATGTTTTAAAAATATTCTTTTAAAGCCCATCCAGAATATTCCCTCAGGGTCAGTTTTAAACTTAGTACGTTGGGAAAGACTGGCTGATGCATTGCTATCCATTGGAACCGGGATGCTAGGCAGACACGGAGAACGGCCTCTTCTGAGTGGAAGGGCAGGATGATGTGAGTGGGAGCTTTCTTTAAGCCATCCAGGGGCCAGTGGGAAGCAGTTTCGTTCTCGTCTTGCCAATGCCATAGTATCCAGTCTGAAAAAACAAGAGCCCAAGAGTTAGGCACCCTTCTGACCCGCAAAAGCTGTTGAAATATTTCCATGCAGTCAAGCCCTGATATTCTTCCTGGAGATAGGAAGAATGCTCTCTAAATTATTCTTTCTCATTAATTTTGTCTATCTCGACTTGAATAGACATATACATAATGAATTCTGAAGCCCTGCAAGATTCCCCACTGCCAGGCGAGAACAAGACAGAGGAGCACCATTAGTATTCTTTCTCTTCGGGAAACAAGCATGCCCAGAGATTAATTAAAAAGACCCCCAAACACACTCCTTGTCATGTTTCTGAACCTTAATAATCAATGCAACTGAAGCAGCAGCCATGGACGATCTGCATTGGCTGCATTTTGTGAGTTTAAGAGTTACTTGCATGACAAACATGATTATCTCACACACATTTTCATAGTGTGTCAAAAACAGAGGAAGTACCCAAAAGTGTACAACAGGGGACTGAATAGAGCAGTAGAAGTCAGCTTCCATAGATCAGAGGGCGGCACTCACTCCAAAATACAATGGCGCCCCGCATAGCAAGGTTAATCCGTTCTGGATTAACAGTTGCTATGGGGAAACATCGCTATACGGAACGGAAAAACCCATTGGAACGCATTAAACTTTGTTTAATGCATTCCAACGGGGCCCAAAACTCACCGTTCTGCGATGTTTCCCCATCTGGCCGCCATTTTCGCGCCCTCGGTAAGCGAGGGCAGGGCGCGAAAACACTGCGCGCGGCCATTTTGGGCATCCGATGGCCATTTTGGAACCGCCGATCAGCTGTTTTTAAAAAATCGCTACGCGAAAATCGTTGCAAAGCAATTTTCGGCCATAGAAAGCATCGGTATGCGATCGCATTAGCGATCCCAGAAAACGGATCGCTATGCGAATTCGTCGTTAAACGATGCGCTCGTTATGCAAGGCACCACTGTATTCTGGTTCAAAATGTTTCTCCCCCCCCCTCCAGACTGGGGAAAAAACGTTAGTGCCCTCTAGTGGCCAATTTTAAAAAATAATATAGTGGAGATTGGGCAACAGGGGGAGATGCAACATGGCAAAAATGACTACAGCATTCCCTCAAGGGCCAAAAAAGAAATTCTGGATGAAATTTTCTTCAAAATTGGCGGCGGGTGTGTGTGTCTTTGAGGACTACAAGTACTCCGTTGCCTGAACTTAGCTCACCCTTGCTGTAGAAGCTTTGGGACTTGATGCTGTCAGTGGTATTTTATGCTCTGGGGTTTGCAAGTTCTTCAGTGCCCCACGTTTAAATAAGGGATGGGAAGGGGGAGAATTTTCCTGTCAAAGTCCAGCTTACCTCTGTAAAAACCTATTGGGGATGTTTAAGGTGGCCTTGACATGGGAGTGTGTGTGTGGGGGGGAAACAGTAGCTTCATCCAGACATTCTCCTTCACTGAAGTGTACACAATTTCTTCGGTCGGCTGTGTAGTTCAGAAAAAAGATCCGGATAGAGGACGAGATGGATGGTCTCCATAACTTGGTTTAGGTCTGGTGAAGGGGAATCCAGAGTGGGAGGAGTAAATGCATATGTGGTAAACACTTGTCTTTTTTAGCTGTTGGTGTTTAGTCATTAAGTCGTGTCCGACTCTTCATGACTCCATGGACCAGAGCGCGCCAGGCCCTCCTGTCTTCCACTGCCTCCCGGAGTTCGGTCAAATTCATGTTGGTCGCTTCAGTGACACTGTCCAACCCTCTCATCCTCTGTCGTCCCCTTCTCCTCTTGCCTTCACACTTTCCCAACATCAGGGTCTTTTCCAGGTATTGTATTTTTCCATCTATAAGATGCCACTTTTTCCTAAAATCATTACCCTAAAAATTAAGGGGCATCTTTTACACAGAAGTACGAAACGGCCAGGAGATGATGGGATCAGTGGCCATGATCTTAGTTTTTTTGATGTTGAGCTTCAGACCGTTTTTTGCACTCTCCTCTTTCACCCTCATTAAGAGGTTCTTTAATTCCTCCTCACTTTCTGCCATCAGTCTTTTTGGCTACAGTGCCCTGAATACCAGAGGCAGCATGGCTTACTCAGAGTTCACAAGCCTTATGTTCCACGCCTAGTGTTAATCGTTCCTTTGGTGTGCTTTTTTTTCCAGGTCTCCTACAAGCTTTTTGAAGACATGGGGTTATTTGAGACCTTTAAAATTCCCGTCAGAGAGTTTATGAACTATTTCCATGCTCTAGAATGTGGATACCGAGACATACCGTGTAAGTATGACCCAGTACTTAGGAAGACTTCAATAATCATCATCATCTTGCCCCATCCAAACAATTCTGACTTCTGGTAACCCTTTTCAGAGTTTTCTAAGCAGAGAGTACTGAGAAGTAGAGATGGAGTTCTCTTTAGTGGCCAAACAGGGGTTCAACACTCAAAAGCCCCACTTCCTCTGTCAGGCACCACCTCGGGGTCAGCGGCCTGGATCCCCAGGCATTGCCCGCTGAAGGAGGGAGGCCTCCAAAGTGCTGAGCCTGTATTCGGCCACTAAACAAACTGGCAGAAACCATTGAACCAGCCTTTTGTGGCCATCCCATCTCAGACGTGGTTTGCCATCCCCTTCTTCCTGGAGGCATCCTGGGGACTGCGCAGCTTGCCCAAGGCCACCCAGGCCGGTTCTCCTCACCGTTGGGAAGTAAGCTCCCAACCTCTGGCTCCAACAATCAGATACGTAAACCGCTGAGCTATCCAGCCAGCACTAAAACTTACAGAAATGCATCTATTGGGAGAAAAAAAATGTTTGTGTACGTCAGGATAGTGTGTCTGACTGATTGTACGTGAAGCTGGTATTTCCCAGGCTTATCCATCATCCCCTAATACAGATGTGGTTTTAGCTTCTTCTCCTCCATCCCCTTTCTGCTCTCCCTTTCCCTGGTCATTAATCAGCAGAAATTAATGATTCTACTGTTGCTTGTAATAGAATGAAGTTGGTGATTTATGATTTGAGTGGCTATTGTTTCATCTCTGTGTTGTTTGGTCCCCAACCTTGGGCCTCCAGATGTTATTGAACTACAACTCCCGGAAGCCTTCACCACCACCTGTGCTGGCCAGGATTTCTGGGAAATGAAGTCCAAGAACATCTGGAGGCCCAAGGTTGAGGACCACTGTTAGACCATGACTGGTATAGGCCTGTTTGCTTCAGGTGGTGGTGGTGGAGAGCAACGTTCATTGTTGCAACAAAAACAGCAAGAGCCTGGGGCCCTTATCAAAGTCTGTTGTCCATAGGAGTTGATGTCGTATAAATATTGCTTGTATTTAAGTTGCTTCGTACCTTTTTGTGTGTTCTCGAAATGATATCTTGCCCCCCCATGAGGGCTGGTGTGTCATTCACTTTGAAGAATAAGGAAGCTGTGATGTCATCATCACAAATGAATATGCAGATCCGCACAAATTTGTCCCTCAGCCCAGTGTAGTGGTCTTTGGTTCTTAAAAATGATAGTGGGAAATGAGGAAGAAATTACCCATTTTGTACAGCAGATGGTGCTGTTACCCACACTCACAACCAGCAGAAGTAACCAGCTTCTGTCTCAACAGATCACAACAGGATTCATGCCACTGATGTCCTCCATGCTGTCTGGTACCTTTCCACCCAGTGCATTCCTGGCCTGCCAACTGTGATTAATGACCACGGGTCAGCAAGTGATTCAGGTAAATTTATCAGTAGTTTCTTTGGGACCCTCTTAATCTCATTTTCTGGCCCAGTTTACCTTTCCTTTGTACATTGTGTGTGTGTGTGCTAAAACCTTGCATTTTGCACACCACCTTGTATTTTGCCTAAAACATAGTGTTTAGGTTGCAACATACCACCTTTGTAGCTTTTTTTAAAAAAAGCAAACTGCACGGGTAAGAAATGTCTCTTACATGCAAGGATAAAAAGATCTTGTTGTGCTTGACTTGTGTTTTTCCAGCAGAGGGGTCTTGATGTGTTGAGACATCCTCTTTTTTTTCTGACTATGATTATGTAAAAACTGAGAATATTTATCGCATTTGTGCCATTTGAATGGGCAAGAGAGCCATGAAGGTGTCAGTGGGAACCCACAGGATCTCTGGATCACTTCAGCATTCTCAATCATCCTTGCCAGTGAGAATGAAAAAGGGGTGATCCTTTCATCAAAGGCTTGCTCTGCTAATGACTTATGATCCTTGGTTCAAACTCACCTTTTAAGGATGTGGGTGAAAACAAGACTCATCCCTGTCCTTTCCACTGGCACGTAGGTAACCCAGTTTGCCAGGATGCTAAGGAGCTGAGAAAATACCACACACTACCATTGGACACATGCAGTTCCCTTTGTGTGCAGTGGCTTTGTTGGTTGTCTTTCAGAAGAACGATGGTAGTGGTGGTGATGATTTAGACTCTTTAAAAGCTGTGGTTGAGCAAATGCCGTTTCAGTGTTTTTGATATCAGAACAGATTGCTCTTTCAGAGACTACCCTCTAGCCCAGTGTTTCTCCTTCTCTGAAGCAATATTTTTTTCTCCCTGAGGCAAAGAAAAAAATTATATATATAATTGAATAGCCACCACCACCCTCAGTCGGTAGAAGAATATTGGCAGTTCAATCTTATTTTAACAGCTATAGTAGAAACTTAGGGGACATCTGAGAGAAAAGTGTAGTTTGAGGGGGGGAGAATGCAGGACAGGTTGTGAGGTACATCCTAAACTTTTCTCTGTATGAGAGCAGGACAGTCAGAGAATTTGTGATGGAGAATACCTAGGAGGTTGTCATTGATGCCCCCAAAGTCTGCCACGGAGACAGGAGGGCCTGGCGTGCTTTGGTCCATGGGGTCATGAAGAGTCGGACACGACTAAACAACTAAACAACAACAACAACAAAGTCGGCCACTTGAGCTGGTTGCCTCACTCTGCCTCATGCTAAAGCCGGCTCTGCTGTGGCCCTGTGGGAGATGGCTACTTGAGCTGGTTGCCTCGCTGTGCCTCACGCTAGAGCCGGCTCTGCTGTGGCCCTGTGGGAGATGAGGCCGGTTCACCCTCTCCCTCTTGTCCTTCTGGCGACAGGAGACCATACTTTTAGGCAGGATGCTAACAGCTGATTGGGCAGTGAAGAGTTTTAGTTTAGGGGGTGCTTCATATTGTTTTATCTATGTCGTCATCTGCATTTAAGATGTTTCTAACCAATTTAACTCATTATCTGAATGCTCAGATGGGTTCAGTTGTTTTTAATGTAATTATTCATTGTGTTTTTAACTGGTTTGTCTATGAATAATTTGGGAGCCGCTTTGGGGTCCTGCAATTGGAAGAAAAGTGGCATACAAATCAAATGTAAAAGTATAGAAATAATAATAAACGAAGATGGCAGCGCCTCTTTCGTCTGTCTCATTGGCATGCATTCCTCCGTCCCTGCCACTGGTAATGTCTGAAACAGGGAACTGCATGAGATGAGCAGCTAAAATTGCAAGCATCTGTAGGTTTTCCTTGCAGGCACTGATCTTTGAGTAGTCAATTTGAGGGATGTAGTCATTTTGTTACTGCCAATATTGCACGGGGTCAGGTCCCATTGAAATGGGCAAGCTTAAGCATGGTCTCGGGGACCGGAACCGAAGACAAGTTGGTCTTCTTTCTGCTCCGTAACTAACTTTCACCAAATGACCTGTTTTTTCATGCTCAGATTCTGATAGTGGATTCACTCACGGCCACCTGGGATACGTGTTGTCGAAAACGTACACGCCAGCAGATGACACTTACGGCTGCTTGGCTGGCAACATCCCCGCCCTTGAGCTCATGGCTCTTTATGTAGCAGCTGCCATGCATGATTATGATCACCCTGGAAGAACCAATGCCTTTTTGGTTGCAACCAGTGCTCCTCAGGTAAGAAGGACCAGAGTACCTCCCCACCTATAGGATCCTTGCAGTGCAGCCATTAAATTGCAGTACTGCAGTGAAGACTCTACTCATGACCTGAGTTCAGATAGCTGGCTCAAGGTTAACTCAATGTTCCGTCCTGCTGAGGTCGGTAAATTGAGTTCTCAGCTCACCGGGGAGCAGAGCACTGTGTAGCTTACATAATTAAATTGTAAACCACCCACAGAGAACTTTAAGCACTGTGGGGTGATGTATAAGTAGCACACTTTGCTTTTGTTTTATTGTTCCTTCAGGGAAATGGCATACATGCAATAAGGGTGGGGAGATCTGTCAGTTTCATTTTTCCCCCCTGCATTCAGGGTTTGATATTTAAAAAAAAAATCTCCACTGTGTAGGTTACATAATTAAATTGTAAACCACCCACAGAGAACTTTAAGCACTGTGGGGTGATGTATAAGTAGCACACTTTGCTTTTGTTTTATTGTTCCTTCAGGGAAATGGCATACATGCAATAAGGGTGGGGAGATCTGTCAGTTTCATTTTTCCCCCCTGCATTCAGGGTTTGATATTTAAAAAAAAAATCTCAAGTTCTTCTTGTCTTCAGTAGAAAGAAATTTCTGAATTTTTGGTATATCCTTCAAAGCCACACTGCAGTAAAAGTCTTCTCTATCTACATAGGCAACAGGTTCAACAAATAAAGGTCTTGCATGTGAGCCAAGGCAACTGTATTGGTAATCAACAGGAGTAATTTGGTTATTTGGCTTGGACGTTCTCCCCAGATCCTCAAACGGAGAAATTTCTCTCTTTTTGTTCAGGCTGTCCTATATAATGACCGCTCTGTTTTGGAGAACCATCACGCTGCTGCGGCATGGAATCTGTTCATGTCCAGACCGGAATATAACTTCTTAGTCAACCTTGACCACGTGGAGTTCAAGCACTTTCGGTTCCTTGTTATTGAAGCCATTCTGGCTACTGATCTGAAGAAGCACTTTGATTTTGTGGCCAAATTCAACGCCAAGGTAAGTTCAACGGCTTGAGTCTTCCCAAAGGCCCAAATCCGTAGCCAAGATCCAGAAAATGGGGAGGGGAGGGGCAGAGGTTTTGCGTTGTGTAGTTACAAAGGCAATGGCCAGAGGTCAAGCAAAAGGTGATTCTAAAAGCTGGAGTACAGAAGCAGTTCTGTTAGGATGGGAGAGGAGGGAAAAGGCGCGACACTTCTTTATTTAAGTCAAGTGCTTATTTTTTTAAAAATGCACAACATTGCACTCATGGAATGAAGAAATGGGCCGTATTTGATTTTAAAAATTCTTATCTCAAATGGACTGAAATGACCATTTCGCCCATCTCCGCGTGAATCTGGAGGATTACACAGTTGGGAAGAAACCTACTGTAAATAGTGGGAAGGACCATTAAGTTGATGGTAGACACAGAGCTGGGGGTTCGGAACAGAGAAACAGTCAGAAAGATTCTACCAGAGATGTACCGTATTTTTCGCACCATAAGACGCACTTTTCCCCCACAAAACGGGGTTGGAAAGTCTGTGCATCCTGTTTTCTTCTCCTAAAAAAATGGTGTGTCTTATGGAAAGGTGTGTCTTATGGAGCGAAAAATACGAAAAAACTCGCTTTTTTGGAAGCCTGGGCTTTAGTGCCCTATTGGCTAAGCTCGGGTCACGTGAAATTAGCATATACAAAGAGGAGGGAGAAGAATGAGCAGGAATGCCTGGATCTGAAAAAACTTGCTTTTTTGGAAGCCTCGGCTTTAGTGCCCTATTGGCTAAGCTTGGGTCACATGAAATTAGCATATACAAAGAGGAGGCAGAAGAATGAGCAGGAATGCCTGGATCTGAGTGCACCTCGGCCACATTGGCTCCATACTGAGAGTTCCTGCTTTGCATTTCCTTCTGGCTATCGATGTTTGTGGTTAATCAGCTTGCAGCCTTCCAGCAGCAATGTGGGCTTGCAACCCTGAGCCAGGACGTTGTTGCATCCTCTAAACTTCGGTGCCCTGGGTCAAAGCCTCAGTCACCCTGTCCTGGTTATGCCACTGGGTCCCATCTTCATGGAGGACAGATGGGAAGGCTTTGGGTACCAGAGTTTTGGTGGTATTTTTGCAGAGCAAATAAAGAAGACCTTAGTTATCAGCCAGGTTTAGGATTCAGGTGATAAGAGATGGGATGCAGACATTCATAGTGAAGCTTCTGATATATACCGTATTTTTCCGTGTATAAGACTATACTTTTGTCTAAAACCTTTAGACTAAAAATTGAGGGTCCTTTTACACATGGAAATAAGCTGAGGAGAGAACAAAAACAAGTGGAGGTGAAAGCAGGGATCAAAGCGATCCTGCAGTGCTTTGATCTCTTTCTCCCTACACTTGCTAAGCCCCACTTAGATTTCTTAATTTTGGATTAGAAAAGTGGTGGGCGTCTTATACATGGGGGTGTCTTATACATGGAAAAATACGGTATCTAAAGGAAATATATTGGACGGAAAGGTAATACAAATGATAAATAACAATTCATACAGCACATTTCCTTCTAAGGAAGAATAGACTGCCCCTCTTCCTGCTGCATTTCTGCCAGTAGACAAAAGCATTTTTATTTAGATAGGCTTTGACCACTGATCGAGGACATTGAGGCATTTCACTTATTTTTGTTGTGTTTTGTGGCTTTTACATTGTATTCATTCTGTGTTTGTGACTGTGTACTTAGCAGTGTTTTAAATACTGGGTATTTTAAGCTGTTACCGGTTTTTAAAATTCATGTTGTAAGTTTCCTTAGGTCTTGCAGAGAAGAAAGGCAGGATATTTACATAATGAATAGATGATTTTTTTCCTGTGCCATCTACCTTATTTATTCATTCATTCATTCATTCATTCATTCATTCATTCATTCATTCATTCATTCATTCATTCATAATAAAATGTTATCTGCCAGGTGAACGATGGCGTAGGCATTGATTGGACGAACGAAAATGACCGCTTGCTGGTTTGTCAGATGTGCATCAAACTGGCTGACATAAATGGACCAGCAAAACACAAGGAATTGCATCTACAATGGACAGAAGGCATCGTCAATGAGTTTTACGAACAGGTAAATGGCCGTAGCTGCTAAGAAGAGAAGCAGAAGGTGGCTGTTCTTAATCGCACTTTGGAAGAGTTCAGAGTTCAGTGCTTTTTCTTCCCCGACCTTTTATGAGAATGGAATGTAAAAACTCTCACACGGATCGTTTTGTCATAACGGAGGTGAATGGTTTCAAGAGGTCAGATTAAAATCAGTGTGCAAAAATCACTTCTCCAAATTGCTTTACCATTGTTTTGAAAGGGGGGTAACGGCAGTTACAGTGAAACGTGTCACGCAATTCATTGTTGTGTCAGAGTGTGCAAAGCCCCGAGTTCAAGTGATGCTTCTAAAAATTAAATACCTGAAAAAATGACTGAACAGTGTATTCTTATATATAAGAATAAATGTAGGAAATTGCAGGGAAAATGGAATGAATCCACTAGATCGAGTTAGCTAAGGTGGCCCAGGGAACACAGGCTATTTTCAAGGGACCCTTATGTCTCCCTGGACAATCCCATCTGTCCTCCAGCAAAAAAGTGAATAGCTACACCTTGATGGTCATTGTGATCCATCTTTTAAGCAGGTTGCAGCCCCCTCCCCAAACCCTTTCAACATGCCCATTTCTGTAGATCTGAACTGGACTTTGGGTTACCTTTTGTTTCATTTCTTTCCACTTTTTTGCATTGCTTAATATAATCGTTACTATGTGGATATTTTAGATTATATATCAATTGCTTTCTAGTCAACTCTCCTGGGATTTTCTAGGTGTAAGGTACTCAGAAACAGCTTACCGGTTCCTCCTTCTAGTAGCACTCTGGCACCGTGAAATGTGCTAATTGCTATAGTAACCCTCTCCAACATTTGCAAATGGCTCCCAAGTGGACTAAGAGTTCTTTTTTTAAAAGCATGGGAATTGTATATCTAATCAGTGTGGCTTGTCCCTGAAAAATCAATTCCTTTTCTTTTTCTTTTCTATTTTGTCCTTCACATCACATTGGCTATTGTGCCATTCGGATGTATGGCATCATTATTTTTCATTGGGAAGTAGGGCATCCACTAAATAGAATTCTGTCCTTTCATTTCCAACCCTGACATCTTTCTAAAAATTGTCAGAATCCCAGAGATCAAGAACTAAAATCACAGCACACATTTCCCTACCTTTCGGAATGGATTGGCTCTGTTAATCCCTGATCAAAATTTTGTTTAACATCAGAGGCTCATCAGACTATCAATTTACTTTTTAAAAGTTTAATCAGAGACTGAATGCCTAGATTTTGTGTGTTATGTTGAAACCATTGGCTCAAACCTCTGTTGAGGTAGTATCACTTGAGAAAATCATAAATGTCTCTCCGAAAAAAATTTAAATCACTATCTTGCATGTTGAAAACTATATGTTGAACCCACTGGCCATAATCCTGTTGATTAATCATGCTAGCACAAGCGCAGTGGTGTAAGCAGAAACAAAGAAGCACGTCACCGCTTAAATTCCTTGTCATGTGCCAAGTCATTTGGTTGGTGCACAAAGAGAGATGCAAGTAGCAACTCATTAAGTAGTAACAATTCACCACTGCAGTGTATATACATAGTACAGTGGTGCCCCGCATAGCGACGATAATCCATGCAGCAAAAATTGTCGCTATACGGATTTGTCGCTATGCAAAATAAAAAAGCCCATAGGGATGCACTGAAACCCCTTTAGTGCGTTCCTATGGGCTTAAAACTTACCTTTTAAGCGAAAATCCTCCATACGGCGGCCATTTTAGCTGCCCGGTAAGTGAGGAATCCGTCCCTGTTTTACCTGGCAGCCATTTTGGAACCACCGATCAGCTGGGGAAAAATCATCGTTATGCGAAAATCGGTAAGCGAAACAGCTTACCGATTGTCGCAAAGTGATTTTCCCCCATAGGAAACATCGTTATGTGATCACAAACGCGATTGCAAAAACATCGTTGCTATGCGGATTCGTCGTTAAATGGGGTGCCCGTTATGCGAGGCACCACTGTATACCCATACAACAAAATTCACACAGACACCCAAAGACCAGATCCACAAGCACACACACACAAAAAAATCCCCAAACCTCCCCACCCACTAAAAATCCCCCAGTAAGAATAAGTCAAGAAGTAAAGAATACACATCCAGCCAAGTTATAGTGGCATATGCAGCTGAATATGCCATAAGCACCTCTTTTCTTCCCTGACAATAAAGATGCAGCGTTAACAAAGGAAATCATTAAGAATTTGCGACTTTTTCATGACCCTTCAAACTTGTTTTGTCTGCATCACCCTGCCCAAGGATAGGGCCAGCATGCCTGTCCTGCCCTCATGCTTATGACTGTCCTTCAAGACAACCACCAAGAGTCAGAAATAGAGATGGGGGTATTTGTATACGAATACGAACACTCCCACACAGGTGGACATAGCGAGGGTCCGGCCCTCTAAGGCCAGATTGTCCACTCACCTTCCGCTGTTCCCTTCCTATCACTCTGTAGCTCGCGGTCTGCGAGTCACTCTTTGACCTTGCATCGAAGCTCATCCTCCTGCCAGGAGTTGCTTGCAGACCGGTGGTTTCAGTGGGGCATCCAAGGGCTTCCACACCCCTTTAGGGACCTCATTCTGCAGTCTTAGGCAGACAGTCACAGAATCCTGCACAACCTGGCAGACTTTGGCTGTATTTTGTCATTTTTTTCCCCTAGCACCTTGAAACACACGTACACCACTCCATTTTCTCTGGTTCCTTGCTCTGACCAGACTTTGGAAAAGTTTATTTTTTAAAGAATGTAACTCCCAGAATTCTGGGAGCTATGCTTGGAAAATTTTCTCTAAGCTCTTTTTCTGCCTGTTGCCCATTCAGGTTTATGAAGCCAACTATCACCTTTTTTTTTCTTTCCCCGTTGTGCTCATCAAAACACCATCCAATAACAGGACTGCTAACATGAAAACATTCTCCAGGCCTTGTAAATGGCCTGGGTGATTTCAAGAGCAACCTGGTAAAATGATTTTTATGATCTGGGAAGATACAGAAGGGCGACAATGATCCTTCGGGTCAACTGGCTGCAAGCCGTCCTAGGTCCTTAAAATGTTAACACCAGTGTGTTGAATTGGAACTGGAAATGTACTGAGATCCCATGCTTATGAGATGGTAATTCTGGTTTCTTCTGACTTCTAAGGGTGACGAAGAAGCCAGCTTAGGTCTCCCAATCAGCCCGTTCATGGACCGCTCTGCTCCTCAGTTGGCACACCTCCAGGAATCCTTCATCACTCACATCGTGGGCCCACTGTGCAACTCCTATGACTCGGCGGGGCTGATGCCAGGAAAATGGATCGAAGACAACGATGAGTCAGCCGACACGGATGAGCAGGATGAGGAAGATTCGACGGACATGGAGACCTATGAAAACTCCGAACCAAGTATGTTCTCTCTGTGTGTGCATGATTTTTTTAAATTATCATTATTATTTATTTATTCAATTTTTATGCCACCCATCTTACCCACGATCACTCTGGGCAGTTCACAACACAAAAAAACATAAATGTAGTAGAACAAAGTGCTCCAAATTAAATTAACTTAAATCAAAGAACAAAGATTTGAAAAGTTAAAAACTGTTAAAAATAGAACAAACGGGCTTCCTTCAGTGATGAGGCTTAGCTGCCTCCAATCAGGAGGCTTAGCTTCCTACAGTCAGGAACCTTGTGGAAC